ATATTATGAAATTAGCGACAACTTTGGTATTCACAGCAACCCTGAGAAAAGCATCATTTACAACACGAAAATAATTTCTGGCAAGAGTACACATAAAGCCCAAGCAATGGTGGTACAATTGTAAACCGCAGAAAAGCTGAAAACTTGAGAAGCATAGCATGGAGTTCTAGACCTCCAACAAACATGACTCATAACTTTTGATAGTATTAAGAAGTTACCTACAACTTTCTTATTTCTCATCTTAAGATGATTCTATAGTTAACAAGGTCAATTAATCCAATAAATGCATCTACTGGCCCAAAACATGGACCAAAATCTGATATGCAAATTTAAACAGCTATAACTAGAGTTCCACGTGTCCAATAAATGTGATTCTAGACTTTTTTAGAAAGCCCAGAAAATTATAAACAACTTTGTTATAAACACCTAGAGCTAATTCTTCTATTAACAAGGCCACACATTACCAACAAAGGCAACCTTGTCTAGGTTTGGTAGCAGTTGACCCAACAGTAAATTTAAGCAACTATAACTAAAAAATCTGTTAACCAAAAATGATGCTCTTTAGCATTTTGAAAAGCTTAAGAAAAATTAATACAGCTCATTTATTGTCATCAAGGCATGATTCATAACTTAGCTAAGCTAATTAACACAAACATTCCCAACTATTCGTAATAGGACCTGCAATGAAGATAGGGCAATTTGTTATTTTATTGCTCTTAAACCATCGAGCCTAATAACCTGAAATTTTATCAAACATCAACCATCACCTGAATATCATTCCATACAAATTTAAATTTATTTAAGCATAACAACTTCAGTTATAAAAAAGACAAGACGTAACTAGTATTAAAAACCTAACTGCATAAATTTATTTTTTCAGCAAAAACTTTAAACTAAAAGAATGCCATATTATTGATCCATTGCATAGATAATTTAACAAGGATTCCAAAAGTCCTCATTTGCTATTTTTGGATTTTTCTACAATTTACTACGATTTTTCAAAAGTTCAGCCAAAATAAAAGCATAAAGGAAAACGACTTTTGCATCGGAGACCTGAACTTCTCACTAATACAAACTCCATAAATGGCTCCTTCTAGGCACTATTCAACTGGTGGATTTAGATTTGCAGTTGAGCCCTTCACTTACGCTTCGAATTGTTGCGCGAGGACCCAGTGTGGCTTTGGAGCGGGGACACGCGGGAGCTTGCTTGGAGGAGGTGCGTCGGCGATGGTGGTGAGTGGAGAGGAAAGGGTGACCAGTGTGTAGCGCCTTAGGGCAGCGCACACGGCGGAGATGGCCCGAGGTGGCCCACCACCTTGCAGGTGGTAATGGCGTGACGGCGACGGCCCCACAGAGCACACTGGCGGCAGCAGTTTGCGGCGAGGAGTCGCCCGTCTCCGGCGGCGGAAAAACTCTTCATTTCGGCTTCCACGACCTAGGGGCGAAAAACTAAACAAACTACACGAGGAGATAGAGAGGCGAGAGGGAACTTGAAGCCACAGCGATCACGCTTACGGCTAGGGCGTTCATGGTGGCGGCATTGGCCGAGGGCCCTCACCTTGCGGACGACCGGTGATGTAGCTAGGTTAGCAAGAGGGCGCCATGGTGGATCTTCTGCTGGGTGGTGGATTGCACGTAGGCACAGGCGTGACGGTGAATTTCGTGGGCTGCAAGGGTGTGCAGTGGATGGTGCTAGTTAGCGGCGGTGGCCTGCTCTCCTTCTGCAAGTCCCACGGATACAAGGAGAGGGAGGCGAGCGAGTGGGAGGGAGAGAGACACAGCACCGGTCCTCCAAATAAACGAGCGAGGGCGAGTGGCGGCAGCAATACAAGACGGAGGCCACGCAGTGCCCCCGGCTCCTCCACTACGATGACCATGAAGGCCATGCAGCAGATTCTAAAATCTAATTCTACCTCAAAAATACGACTGAACATCAATTTTCTCCCTTCGTAACTCCTAATACCTTAAGTTTTGACACAAGAGGTAGTGACAAATGTTGTAGAACTACGTGAGATCTCCAACTTTGCTTAAAACACCAAAGTCTAATTCGGCCTGGTTGGAGAGATACAAGGTTCCAAAGTGGGGTTCACGAAACTTAAAAACTGAATACTTCAGTTCCAACACAGCCGATTTTTGGAGCTTCAAAACTGCACTGAGTTGATTTTTGAAAGCCCTATTCAAGACACTTAGATGTCGAATCAAGCCTTGATCCAAAAATAAAGTTTGTTATACATAAGATGAACTACAACTTTGATTTAGGTTCTATTGCCATGCAAACACTCTAAGACACTGTTCAAACCAAGTCAAAGTAGCATCACGATAAAACTTAAATTATACTTTTTGATCTATTGAAGCATTTTCTGGCCACTTGCTCAACATGAACCCTTCATAACTTTTATTCATGAGTGTAAGTAGAGTTGTTTGAGACAGGTTGCAAGGTTTGGTTGATGACCTATAATTCCATTCACTTAATAGCGCAATTCAAGTAAGAATGTAACTCATCATTTCATGTGACTTTTTGGCTCCAAACTTCGTGAAACTTTTCCAATCATCAATGTGGGTGAAAATTGAGGTGAGGCACATAAAAGAAGCATCTTCAGCATTACTTAGGTATATATCTAAAAAGGGGCCAACATGTAAGCAAAGGTGTGCTGTCCAAGTTTAAGTTTGGGCTCATTCTTAGAGCGTGGATCCCAACACCTTTGTCACCACTTACAAATTTGAACAGCTTTTGGTTACCACTGAACTTGTCATGTTGGCGCTCAAACCCACTGCTTAACTCGTGACTAACACCCGAGGTGTTACAGTCTAATCCCAAACTCATCACACAAATCATCAACTCTTGTGTTCTTGAATTCACTTTCATTGTCACTTCTCACTTTCTTGATGGTTGTTTTAAATTCATTATGGATTATTTGTATGAATGTCTTGAAGGTTGCAAACACATCACTCTTGTCAACAAGAAAGAACACCCATGTATATCTAGTGAGATCATCCACAATCATAAATCCATATTTATTTCCACCAATGCTAGTGTATGTGGTTGGTCCAAACAAATCCATGTGCAATAACTCAAATGCCTTAGATGTACCCATCATGCTCTTCTTAGGATGTGTGTTGCCAACTTGCTTTCTGTCTTGACATGCACTACATAGCTTATCCTTCTTAAATGTGACATCTTCCAAGCCTCCAATTAAGTCATGCTTAATCAACTTGTTCAATTGTTTTATTCCAATATGACCAAGCCTTCTATGCCATAATCAACCCATGTTGGACTTAGTGAGCAAACATGTTGACAATTGAGCTTATCTAGCATTAAAATCAACCACGTATAGATTCTCATATCTAAATCCTTTGAATATCAAGTTAGAGCCATCTACACTTATGATCTCTATATCATCCACACCAAATATGCATTTAAAACCAAGATCGCACAATTGAGCTACTGATAATAGGTTGAAGTTCAAGTTCTCTACTAGTAGCACATTGGAAATGCTTAAGTCATTGGATATTGCAATCTTACCAAGCCCCTTGACCTTGCCTTTGCCATTATCACCAAATATGATACTATCAATCCCATTGCTCTCATTTTCATTTATTGAATTGAACATTCTTGAATCACTAGTCATGTGTTGTGTGTACCCACTATCAAGCACCCAATGCCTTTCTCTTACTTTGTGATTGACCTACAAAAGAAGATCAATTCTTTTTAGGTACCCAAACTTGCTTGGGTCCTTGAAAGTTAGTTACCAAGGACTTTGGTACCCAAATGGCCTTCTTCTTTGGGCCCACAATTGGTGTACCAATGAACTTAGCCTTTACACCATTGGCACCCTTAATAAGCATATAACAAGAATCAAATCTAATTAAGGATATATTAGGTAGCTTGTTCTTGTTAGTCTTGCAATATTGCTCTATGTGCCCAACTTGCTTGCATCTATTGCAAAACCGACCATTGCCCTTCACAAAGCTAGCTTTGGAAGTGACAAAGGTCGCCTTGCCTTTCTTAGGGGTATAGCCTAATCCATCTTTATTGAGAGAAACCCTTTGGCTACCCAAGCACTTTAGCAAGTGGGTATCTCCACCATAGGCATTGCCTAAGGCACGAGTGAGCTCATTCACCTCCTTCTTGACAGTCTCATTTCCATCATTAGTGAGGCATCACAAGTGAAACCATCACTCAAAGTTGAAATAGAAGAGGTAGTACTACAAGAAGGGTTAGTGGGAGCCACAACAATGGGCTTATAAAAAGATACATCAAGAATGTCACATGTTAGTCCCACATCACAAAACACAATCACTTGCTCCTTCTTGGCTTCCTCCTTCTTGACTTGCTTGAGGAGAGAGGAGTGAGCTCTTTCAAGCTTAGTGTGAGCATTGCCAACCTCCTCATGGTCTCCCATAGACTCTCATAAGAAGCATTGACTTCATCA